ACCAGATATTTTTAGTATTTCTGCTTTAGTTTTTTAAATGAGGTCTAAGAGCATCTGAGAAAATTTAAGATGTCTCAAATAACCAGGAACCTAGGCTATATTTTATTTTTAAAATGTATCTTCTCACACAGAGCAGAAAGTTACTCTACCCAACTATTGAATAATTTCCAAAAATTACCCAGTTTTCAAGTCAATAGTGTAACCACCTGTTATTGAATTCTTCCGCTGTATCTCATTAAAATGAGGTCTAAAATTCAGGAAAATCTGACCAAATCCAGGTAGCTTATGTATTAGTAAAATAGCCTTATTCATTATGACAGCAATGAAATTCCAAACTGGTTTTCCCTAAGTACTGACAGGGGCATCTTAACAGAATCAGAGTGTAACAAAACTCAGGTTGTAACCTGCTGGGCCCACTACTGAAATTGCTTTGCAGGTTTTATTACTGACAAAGCAGGGTTAAAAGAAAAACTTTAGACAAGACCCCAGAACCAGAGCAGCTTCAGAGACACTCTAACTGCTGCTGCATCTTCAGGTCAGACTTATAGACAGAAAATGGAAAGTGATTACAGAAAACAAAAGTGAGGTACAGAAACAGCTGGATTGGTAACAGCTGGGCCTTTGCCTTATTTGAACACAGTTTGAACGGTTGGCTGCCTGTGATTGGCTGAGATTCGGCTACTTGTTACAAGAGTAGGTTATAGTCTGTTTACACATCATTAGCTCACAGCTCACTATGTCCAGCAGAACCTTTAGGCCAAACTTACTTTAACAGCAGTCATCAGATTATAAAATCTGTATGTAGACCTGCTAGTATGTATCTCTAAAATAACTGGTGTATATGGCCCAAAATTCTGACAGGCCCAGGTCAGAAAAGAAGCCTGTTAGGCTCTGAGATCTACCTTTTAGACTCTCATATAATTTAGACCATATAAAACCCATCTACTATTTTGTAAGTTCATTTTTAACTACAATGGTCATCATTTTAATGGCGTCCACAATCATAAAAATCTCATTTGACTTTTGCAGTTCAGATTTTTTGATCAGTTTCTTACTTTAAACAAGTTATACAAAAATTGAACATTATGGCTAGAAAAGATTTATAATGAAAGCATGAACTATAGAGTTGGATTTCTGGTTCAAATTATGTCCCTGTTACTTACTAAATAAGTGACTGGACAAGATACTTAATCTTTCAGAGCATCATTTTGTTTCTCTGGAGAAAGGAGCCAATACCTACTTTACATGTTTCTTATGAACGGTAAAGGTAACAACGTAAAATAAGGCACAAAGCATAGTGCCTGGCATCATAGTAAACACTCAGCATGTTAGCTATTAAATTAAATATAAAATACTCATATTCATGGTGACTGACTTATATGAGGTGTTCAATAACTATCAATTGAATGAATGAATGAATCAGAAAATATATGCCAAGATTCAATGGCCATAGACAGAATATAGGACGGACTAATTTTGAAAGAGCCAGTTGCTTATTTCTGGAGTTCAGAGTTGTATCAAGGTAAGGGGTAACTCAGCTGGCTACCATTTAAGCAAACAATACAGATAGTTGTAACAAGCAAGTATGTGGAGAAATTGGAACCCTTGCATGCTCTTGGCGGGAATGAAAATGGTGCAGCCACTATGGAAAACACTATGGAAATTTCTCGAAAAATTAAAAATAAAACTGCCGTAAGATCCAGAAATCCCAGTTCTAGGTATTTACACAAAAGAATTGAAATTAGGATCTCAAAGAGATATTTTCACACCCATGTTCATTGCAGCACTCTTCACAATAGCCAAGATGTGGAAACAACCTGTCTGCCAGCAGATGAACGGGTAAAAAAACGTGGCATATACGTACAATGGAACGTTCAGCCTTAGAAAAGAAGGAAATCCTTCAACAAGCGGTAGGTAACATAGATGAACCTGCAGTACCTGCTAAGTGAGATAAGCAGTCACAGAATGCTGTATGATTCCACTTACATGAGGTATCTAAAATAGTGAAGCTCATGGAAACAGAGTAGAATGGTGGCTGCCTGGGGCTGGGGGAGAGAGGATTGGGAATTTGCTATGCAATGGGTATGCAGTTTCAGTTATGCAAAGATGAATAAGTTCTAGAGATCTGTTCAACATAGTGCCTATAGTTCATGACACTGTATTGTACACAGACATTTGCCAAGAGAATAGATGTCATGTTAAGTGTTCTTACCAGAATTCAAAAAACAGAAAACAAAAACACAGAACACCAAATCAAGCCTAGACTGGGGCTTAAGGTAGGAGGAATACAGCAAGTGAACCGTGCTTGGAATGACTGAAATCCTATCAGGAAAGAAGTATTACCATGACAACAGAACAGATTTTTGTCTGTTCTTTCTATGTTTATCCCATGAAGGAGAAGCTACCTCCGAAGGCAGGCCGATTGTTTGCCTATAAACTGTAGAACGGTGGCAGGTTTCCCTGCAAGTGACTGCGGGCACCATCATCTCAGACACAAAGCTAATTTTCAGCTGCATGGACATGGGTTAGCTTTTCCTACCGAAAGCAAACTATTAATGATATTAAGCAGTTTTTAGCTTATATTACCATAGGTCACTAAAGAGTTTCCATCCCTGTCCCAGAGACTAGGAAAAAGAGAGGGAGATTAAGACAGAGACAGAGAGACAGAGATGGAAGGGGATTGAAACGAACAAGAAAGATCAGTTAAAGATGTCATACTGGGGAGATAATGTTACCTTCCCCATATGGCTGTTAAGAGGACTAAGTAAATATCTGTAAAGCACCTAGCAGTGCCTGGCACATAGTAAGTACCCAACAAATGTTAGTTATTGTTATAATCACTATTATTATTTTTAGAGGCTTTTGTGTGGCTTAATTCATACCACCCTTTTCATCCTCGCCCTGCTCTGCTGCACCCCACAAACTATAAGCAATAAATACAAATACAAAAAAAGGTAGGTTAAAAAAAAAGGTGTTTTAATGAATATTAAGAAAATCCAATTATAGCACAGCTATGTGTGAGCTCCAAACAGAATGGGTTTTATTAAATATTAGATACAGTGTATGTCCCATAAATACGTATTGCATTGAGTTAAAGTAAATATCAATCATTAAAGATGCCCAATTTTAGTTCTAGAGGCTTCATGGCTATTTTAATCTTCTCTTTTTTCATTCGAGAAGGAACTCCTTTCCATAATTATGAAATTATGATTGAGTCACCCCTTAAACATAGTATTTGCAGTGAGATAATAACAGTCCTTGTAAGTGGCGACTGTTGCAACAACCTGCATCCATTAAACCAGTATCACAATGAAAAGGCTTTTGAGAAGCAACCCATGACAGAAAACCTTCAGAGCAGTACGAGGTCGCACATCAGTGACTGTCAGAGGAGGAGCCACCCTTACACACGGTACTGACAGTGCTGCAGCTCGCTTCTCTTTGGGAAGGAACCTTAAAGCCTCTCGCTTTCCCATACAGTATCTAACATGCTGGTCTGCCATACTAGCCCTTTGGTCCTGAACTGTTTTATGGGTATTTTTGCACAATGAATTGAAAATGTCTAGGGTTGAATGAACTGGGTTGTTCATTGCTTAGTCTGCCTGGGAAGGAGAAAAGGGAAACCGGGTTAGCTGAGGTATTTGAGTTTCTCCTCTTATTTCATCCGGATCCTTTTAACTGGCTATCCTCAGTGGCAAGAAGAGGCGATTATGACACTTTCTCTTCTGTTAAATAATGACATTCTTGAATTAATTTTTTAACAATGATAAGGGGAGCAACATATATGTGAATGTACTGGAACATGTCTCAGTAGAAGCTGAGCACTGGGGAGCCAAGTCCATATATCTGTAATTCAGGAGAGAAATTTGGAATGACTGAAAGCAGGAAATGAGTTGCACCGTGCAGATGGTCCAAACACTCCACCTTGTGAAGTGTCCCTTTACTGCTGTCTGAGGGCACTTAGCAAACATGACGAAAACAAAGGGAGAGACAAAGCGCTGCATGAGACCATCTCTTCACACAAAGCTAACAGTAAAGCATCACCTAAATAAGGAAAACTCTTAGAAAGTCCTGGCAAAGAAATCTTGACACCTAACATAATCTTTTTACCTTGAAAATAATTGTGTAAAGGACTATTTGCATATCCATTTAAATGCAAATACTTGAGAACTACTTCTGAGATTAATGAACAAACCCTTTAAATTCAGTAAGTCATCACCTTCATAGCTGTTAAACACTTAGTGTTTCAATAGGCAGATAATTTGTGGAAAATGTATTTAAAGGAAGTCCATAATGTTCTATATTCGATTGTTGTTATGAGGTAAAATAATAAAAATCCATTTCCTCTTGTGATTATTTAAAATGCTGTAGTAAAATTTCTCCCAGTTGGTGCTAATGGAAGAATAAAAGCCTCAACCACCATCAGTATTAAAGCTGTGTTTCAAGCAACAGTGTATATGCAATGTAGATGTGAAAGTCAGGCTGCCTTTGTGCAGAGCTATTAAACTGACTGATAAATTCTGGTCCAACAATTGACTTGGCTTTTTCCTCTCTAATTTGGTCAGCTCTTTGACCAAAGGAAGTCAATCAACCAAGTATCTTAGAATCATACAAACACAGGAAAGGTGTCATTAGCCCATATCAAATCCTTCCCTTTAAAAATCAGGAAATATAGGCCTGTATAATTCTCATGTGGTCATTAAGTAATGCATTAACAAACATTGGGATGTAAACCTAGTAAAATTCTAAAAAGCAATCTCCATGATCGTTGAGAGGAAGCAGCCCTGGGCACAAGAAAGCAACTATGATCCTTTTCCTGTGGTTAGAAAACGCTGACAACCCACTGTTCCTGCCACTCCAGTGATTTCCCATCAAGTGACTGAGGTCATTTAATTCATGGCCTGAATCCCTTATTTGACTGGTGTGGGTGCAATTCTTAGATATAGGGTAAAAAGAAAACAAATGAGAAAAAACATGGAAAATATGGAAAAAAGAAATTTTTAAACTAAATCTTTTATAACTGTTAATTGACAGATGGGAAATTAAGGTAAACTTTGCTAACAGTTTCTTTTACTTACGAAGAGAAGACACATAATAGTGGTGTAAATGCAGAAATAAGTCCTAAAATTATGAAAGCAAAAATAGTTACTTCCAGTGCTTAGCTTAAGAAATAGATTGCCTTTCCTATTACATTATTCTCATCTGTTCTTCAGATGCTCTGAACATTCCTGTACAATCGAACAAATGAACAAATAAAGCTTTACCTTGAATTCACACAAAGAATATAACACAAGAAGGAAATAAAGATCCTTTGTTTTACAACTAGGAATAAAATTTATGTTCTCTGCACTCACTAGGGGAAAACGAATGTATTCTGACTCTAAATAGTACTATCAGCATTAAATCAAATTTAAATCCCTTTCTCAAGACAGAAATAATCTCTAAAATATTTCCAAATCTACAGTAGATGTCTTTTGTCTGTCAGTTTGCACACAGTTGAGAACACGAGCAGTGTGAGTGTGAGGTGCTTATATGAGTTCCTGATGGATGTGTCCAGAATGCTTAAGGCTATGCTTAATATCCCAGTTCTCAAGGAGAATCCCAAGTGCAGCATCCCCCTCTCTGGTGTATCCTGCCTCATGTAGGGCCTCATCTATAGACACAAGGAAATTAAATATTAAAACACTACCTTGAGATAATATTAAGGATCTGAAACAATGCAATAAAGCCAGAAATCTGACTAATAAAGAAATTCAGCAAACCTCTCCTACCTCTTCTAATTGAATCACTGCAAACTTAAAATGGGGGATGTTCTGGTTTATGCTATTGGCTCAATTTTTTTTTCTTTTGATGCCCATTTATTTTATTACTTCCTTCATATTATTAAAATAGGTTTTCGTATATTTAACTTGTCTTCTTTCCTTTACAAAGCAAAAAATACTCAAAAAGCATGTAATAACAGTTGATTACTTAGGCAATCTCTCTGGAAAATGATAGTTACACAAAATGTTTATGGCATTTACATATGTATAATTTCACTTGAATATGTAGTCTTCCTGAATGATGAATCACCTTCTAATAGAAGCTCTGGTCTTTTGACACTGAAGTGCATTTCAAAAAGGATATTAATTTAATCATTAGATTAAAATAGTATTCTCAGAAATGCTTCAATTTATCACTCAAACTATCTACGCATATAATAACCCTTTCTGAAATAAACGTTTTATCTGAAATATTAGAAAACATACATATAAGTAAACCACTTTTTAAAAAAAATCTTGGCATAAAGTGTTTATGATACATCGCTTGCCAATGTATCATATCCTGTCTCAGTCATCAGTCTATAAAGCAAAAGTCAAATAACGTAAAAACTATGTTTTTCTATTTTTTTCCCCTGTGTTCCTCATTTTGGTTTCCCCATAGTGAGGAATGGTTGGATCCAAAATTTTATAACCAAGGCAAAATCTCTGAAAACCAGGGTTTGGAGTGAGAAACAGAGTTTTACCAAAGGCAAGGCTGAACCATTCCTCTGGAACGGCAACACAGTAGTTTTTTTGTTTGTTTGTTTGTTTTTTTGAGAACCAGAGAACCCATATAAACAAAACCAGAAGTGCTTCCCATTATAGTACATAAAGGAACATCAATGGTTTGGGGACAGTGATCATATCTGGCTATAAGACCAGATTTTATATTCTAGGTTATTGACAGATTATATAAAATGTTAACGGCAGGATAAACTTTAAAACATGTGTTATCTTTACATGAGAAGGTTTACCGTTTGCAAATGCTTAAATACTGTGTCTATTGGTATTTAGTGAAATCTTTCCCTACTCCTGATTTCTGTACTGGGCGGGGGGAGGGGGGGGATCAAAAACTTGCTCTGCTTAGCCTTTATTTCTCCCCAAACAAATGATCTGAACCAACCAAACCAAAACTGTCCTTTATTTTTCCAGTTGGTAGACATTTACCTGTTTGCATACCTAGCAACTGAAAGTAGGAAAGTTTTCTGCCAATCAAAAATGCTCTCTGCTCATCAGGTAAATACCTCTTTCAGCTTTGTAGGTGTTTTCCACACAGTGATACAGCAAGGGGTATTTTTTTTTTTTCCTGGAAAGGAAAAGAAAAGGAAGGAAGGAAGGAAAGAAGGAAGGTGTTCTGGAAGAGGAGAGCGCCTCTGGTTCTGCAGTGGTTCCTCCGTGTCCTCAGGACCCTGACACAGCCCAATATCCTGGCATGACTCTTAGGTTTGGTTAAGTCCTGTTGTCCACAAAGGCAAGTAAAGGTGGCTTCCAAATGCTCAGTGCATTAAAGAAAAAAGGAAAGATGATTTTTTAAAATGATGAAAAAGAAAAAATGCTTGAAAATAATTTCCAGGAACATATCTTGAGAGGAGAATCCCAAGCACAGCGCCCCCTCCCTGGTTTACCTTGCCCCTGCTCACTGCACGAAGACCTCCTCTGTCCAGGCTCTGGAGCAGTCCTAAAAGACTTTCTTTAGGGGAAGCACAACTTGCTTTAGTGGTTTCCAGGGGGAAAGTTGTATTCCTTGAAATGTGGCCCATCCACCTTGGCCTCAGAGACCTCACAACTTTTTGGCACTGTCGTGGCAAGCTGCTGCCCGGATGGTGGTCCCAGCCAAGCCCCGGTTGCTGACCCTACGGACCAGCACTTTGGAAACCGGGATTTTTGTTCTGGGCATCTCACTCCTGGCTGGTTGCTGGTGCACAACAGGATGGCTGGATGGAAGGTTCGCGAGATGCTTGATACTAATAGGGATTTTAGAATCCTTCAGCAAACTGCCTGGTGTTCGCAGTGGACAGGTGATGGTGCCTGGCGACACGGGCTTTAAGCGGGACGAGTGGGTCGTCTCCTCGTTTGCAGGAAGGGCTGCCGGGCTTCCATCCGGGTCAGCGTAGAGATCGTAGAGCGCGTCCCCGCTGTAGCTATCCCGGGGGATGCCGGCCTTTTTACCGCCGCCGGTGGGGTCTTCCTCTGGGCCGGGCGTGGTGGAATCCCAGTAGCCTTCGTCACTGTTGGGGACGCCTTCCTGCTGCTCTTTCTCCGGGTGTTTGGGCTCCTCCTTTGGATGGAGCTCAATGGGAATCCGGGTGAGCCTCCTGCGCTTGACCGAGGACACGTCCTTGGCCGCTTCCACACACCTGGCGTCTTTGGAGGTCTCGGGCACCACCTTGGTGTCCAGTGCAGGTGCCGTCTTAGCCGCTCCTTCTTGGGGTCCTTGTCCTTGATCCTCAGTGTGAGAGAGCATGTCCCAGAATTCCTGGAGGTAGGTGTCGTCCACCTCGTCCGGACTGGCCATCTCCTCCCCTCCGCCTTGGTAGGCCACCACGCTGGGGTTCTTTTTAGAGGGAACTGGCTTGCCCGGCCCGGGGGCATGCTTGTCACAGCTGGGACCTGCCTCGTCCTCTTGGTCTGCAATAATATCTCCACAGCCTGTAAGAGAGTCAAAGCTTTTCAGTGAAGTCACGTCAGAAAACATCAAACAAATACGCTCGGCCGATGGGTCTGAGGGTGGATCAACAGAGGAAGGGTCGGGGACGGCAGAAGCCCGGCCGCTGCCACATTCGGCGTCGACAAGGGGGACAGTCTTTATCGGAACGTCACCTGTCCTGGAGGCGTCCTCGGCCTGAGTGCCCGGGGGTCTCTGCAGCTGCTCTGACCCACCTGGTCTGGGGAAAAAGGAAAACCTTGTCCCAGGGAACAGCCCAATCTGGTGATCTTTCCTGCACTCTGACTTTGAGGGTGACTCCTCATATTTTAACCTTGACATCTGACTTCATGATCCTGGCTGAGAGCTATTACCAAAAATAAAGAAGAAATTTGGAGGGGCATATACATACATATATATGTAATATATAATTTATACATGTTATGTATTTGCTTAATAATTTTATTTATTACTTTTTATTAAATATAATTTAATAATATATAATATTTACATATATACACAAATATCAGTCTTTTCCTTACTTTTTTATGTGCTACTTGTGTCATGCCGAGCAATTCCTATCCCCGTCCATTTAAACTGGAGTTTTACTAACAATATATGTTGACCATTGCAGCTTCTGGAGTCATGAAATAAAGTTAGTTTAAATTGAGACCATGGGGTTATTATTTGTATTATTGCCCTTTTCGGTTCATTTTTTTTATCATGAACACTCCTTTGCAAAATGAAGAAATCAATGAGTTAGGTTCAGGAGAGGTTTTCATTCCCAGAGTTCTAATCACATTGGCCCTGCCCATGATTAGCTCATATCTCTCACTGTACAGTAAGTGATGCTGAGGCCAGAGAGGCTTTTCCCTGTGCTAAATGACCACTTGACATGACAAATCAGAGACCTGTGCTTTGCGGAGGAACAAGATGTGAGTAACTATAAAGAGAAACCCATCTGATATTTCTTCACAATCTTTTGGAGGGCAATTGAAAGCCTCTCAACTCTTTCACACACACACACACACACACACACACACACACACACACACACACACACACACACACCCTATACAGTTGCTTAGATATGCAGGTTTCTATCTAACTGTGTCAGTTTGAAAGAGTTTATAACTGGGATCAGGGAAAAATTAAGTAATCTATAAAAAACCTCCCCTTCTGCATCCCTGCTCCTGGGAGTTGGGAGAAGGTGGCCTGCTTACCCACTAGGGAGCTTTAACTTACTAGGACAGGCCAAGTGTGACTCAAATTTACATGAGAATCCTTGGGTCCTCTGGGAGAAATCTGGCAGAGGGCTTGGGATGGATAACAGTCCTTTGGGACACAGATGCGCAAACAAAGAAAAAGAGACAAAGCTGCGTTCAGTCTGTTGAAGGTGCCCTAGTGGTGAGTCATTGGCCCCAGGGTACAAGGAAGCAGGGATGCCTGGCACCATCTGAAGGCACCGGGCAAGGCAAGCTTTAGAAGCCGTGGTGTCGGTGAGGACCCTCCAGTGCTCCCATACCCAAGGTCCTTGTTATGGGGACTATCAGAAAAAGGATAGTGAAGCCAGCTTACAAAGAACTTAGCAGAAGAACCAGACAGGTGAGTAGAAGGCCAGGAGGGGAGGGGGCGATGAGCAGGATGGTTTGATGGCTGGAGTCCCAATCACACTGCTGGGTGGCAGATGGAAGTCAAAGGCCATTGTTACAACCCATCACAGAGATGTAGCCACACCTTAAATCGCTCTTCACAGTCAAGAGTGGCGGAAGCAAAGATTGCATTTGCACAAAATGGTAACTTTTTCCCTGAAAGACAGACCATGACAGGGAAGATAATCTTACCAGAAGCACCCTTGTTTTCCAGAATCACCCCCATTTTTGTTTATGGTTCCTTGTTTTATTTTTTCCTCCAGTCTGCCCCAATTTAGAGAGTGAACAGAAAATTAGAGTGGGACAGAATAGAGCACAGGGCTAAGGGGAAACGTTTCAGGAAAGAGCTGTTCTGAAACAATGCGATGCTTCACCCACAACAGCAAGTGGATTTTGCTGGAAGACACGTGGGAGCTTTTCTTTTTTGACACAAGGGAGTGTCTGTTGTTTACTTGGGGCTTTTCTCTCTGGGTAGCGAGAAGCTCCTCTGGAGGAGGATACTCAAATCAAGGAAAAGAGGTAAGAGAAACACGAGGAGGAATTATTTGAGAGCTGAACGTCACCATTCCCCTCAGCAGCGCCACACCCTTTCTTTTTTCAGGGCGTCTTCTGGCCAGCCTAGCCCCTGCCTCTGTCCTCAGCTTGCCAAGTAGAATTTCCTGTCTCAAGTGAACCACCCAGAACATAATGTGGAAAGGGCTGGGCGAGGGGCTGCCCTTAGAGCCATTGTGTCGCTGCTGCCATGGGACCCTCGTGTCACAGCCTTCCCATTTAAGGAGGCCACTGGCTTTCATTTAAACTTGCTTTGGGTCTTTAAAGGGATAATGTGTAATCAGGGAGGTCTGGAAATGACACCTGAACTGAGAGCAACTCCTCCTGTGTGCAGCCTCCTCGGCCAGCTCTGAACCTCAGCACAGTCTGAAATGTCTAGCTCCCTGCTCTTGTCCTTTCCTGCCTGTGGTTATCCTCCATGTCAAGATTTAGAAGCTGTGATGCCACTGAAGACCCTCGGATGTCCCACCCAAGGTCTTTGTTATAAGACGGGCAGAGAAAGCCCCAGCTTCACCAGCTTTCACCTCCCACGCTGTCAACTCCTCCATGTCAAGATTTAGAAGCTGTGATGCCACTGAAGACCCTCGGATGTCCCACCCAAGGGCTTTGTTATAAGACGGTCAGAGAAAGCCCCAGCTTCACCAGCTTTCGCCTCCCACGCTGTCAACCTGGTTCATCCATCTGAGGCCTGTCCCTGCCCCCGAGAGAGGCCGTGGCCTCGTACAAGCTGAGACCACAATGTGAAGTGCGCTGGTGCCAGGAGAGAAACGTGGGGACGATCCCCTCCGGGGACCTGGCCCAGGGGTGCAGCGCTGCTGCTGCTTTCCTGCACCCTCCCGTCGGCGGGCTGAGGCTCTCGGCCAGGACAGGCAGGAGGAGGGCTAGGAGGTCCGAGCACAGGAAAGCCTGGGCCAGACTGACGTTCTTATGTGTTCTGCACCGTATTCATTTCTAACTAGTAACACGCAAGCGTAGGCGCCCAGCGCGACTGGCGATGTCCCGAGCTGACCAGCGCGTCGAGCTGCTGCGGGGAGCCCATCCCGGCGGAGGCCGACCCGCCCTTGGCTCTGAGTGAGGGATCGGCCACGGGACGAGGTGCTCTGGGCTCCAAAGGTGTCACCTCAGCCCAGCCCCTGTGGGTTTGTGCCTGGATTCTAGGGCAGGGCGGGCACAACAAAAGACCACATAAAAGTGAAATGAGCACTTCCCCACAATGCCGGCACCCGGGCGCAGGCCACACAGCAGCTGCTGGCGCTGGCACTGGGCGGTGTCTGTGCCTCTCCCCAGCGCTGGTGCTGCTGACAGTCTTTGGCATCCCTCGGCTTCCAGACACATCATGCCAGTCTCTGCCTCCGTCTTCACATGACCTTCTCCTCTGTGTCTGTCAGTGTCCCTTCTCTTTTTAGAACAACACCAGTCATCTTGGATTAAGGGCCCACCATACGCCACTACAGCCTCATCTTAACTTACATCTTACTTACATCTGCAAAGCTGCTATTTCTAGATAAGGTCACAGTCACAGGTACTAGGGGTGAGGACTTCTACATAACATTTGGGGGACAATTCAACCCACAACAAGCATTAGTGCCAGCCATGGTGACAGCGCCTGCCTTACCTTCAGTCATTTGACACGGTCACCAGTGCCCTTGACCGACACTGCTGTCCTTGAACTCAGGCCTTGGCGGGTTTGAACTGTGCGTGGCTGCTCCAGCAAGTGTGGGCCCTCAGCAGATTTCAGGGTCATGGCTGGCATGTCTGGCGTTGCCAGCAGTGCAGGGCAGTTGCACTACCAGCCCGAGTAAACAACAAAGAAACTGGTGCCTGTGGCATGAGTGCATCATGGAGTACATATGAGGGTTCTTCAGAAAGTTCATGGTAAGATTAGTATTATCTTTGAATTTTATTTTTCCATGAACTTTTCAGGTACCCTCACATGTGGGATCCCTGGGGCTTCTCAGGATTATCAGGAGGACCTTAAGAGGACTGTGGGAGTGCCCGTGTAGTGGACAGGTAGAAGAGAAACACCACCTGTGACTCCTCCTTTCTCCTCGTCCCTGCACAGAAGCCAGAGTGGCCTGAGAAACACACTACACAGTAACCACTGGCCCACTCCTCCCAATTCCCTTTCTCCTGTCCTGCTGTTTAGCCAGAGCGACTCAGAGAAAATATTTCATCACAGATTGCAGAGTGGTATGGGGTCTCTTCAGCTGTCAGCCACCAACGTGGACACAGTGAAGCCCAAAACAGAGTGGAATGAGGTCAGATAGCAGAGGGGTCGTGGCAGGACGCCAGGGCTTGGGCCTGGTGGACGCAGCACTAGAGAGCTGCCAGGCGAGCCGTGGGGGTCATTGCATCCCAGTAGAGATGCAGACAAGAACCGGAGTCCAAGGTGAGGGCCTGCAGGGTTAATGCAGAGGCTCAGGGGCTGGAGACTGAGGCTGGAGGGGCACATCAAGAGGGACACAGATTGAAAGCCCATGTGACAGCCCTTGGGTGTTCTTTTGCTCATCTTAAAGAAATTCTGCTCTGCATCTGCTTCTGGACACAAAGCCAGCGTCACACCCAGGACTTGGCGTGGTCCCCTCAACACACAGACAGTGTGCATTAACCACTCTTTGTGGCCAAGGTATGCCCTCTGCCAAGTTCCTCTTTCGCCCACTCTCCAGCCATCTGTACAAGCAGCCTTCTGCCTCAGCATCCCCTTGTGAAACCCTTGAGAACCTTCTGGATCACTGGCCCCCTTGCCCAGCTACTTCCTCTTCCCCCTAAGAGACAGTTCTCTCACTTTCTCATGACACGCTAGGTCTGCCCCTGCCCTTTGGCATAAGATCCTGCTGTGGTTTGGATGTCCCCCAAGCTCCTGCTGGAGCCTGATCCCATTGTAACAGTGTTAAGAGGGTGGGAAATCCAACTGTGGCATTTGGAGGTGATTGGATCATGAGGACTGTGCCCCCATGAATGGGTTAATCCTTTCATGGAGTAATGGATTAATGGTTTAATGGGTTATCGGGGAGTAGACTTGGGGCTTTATAAGGAGAGGTAAAAAGCATGTGGAAATCCTCCTGCTCAGGCCTTGCTACATGGCACCCTGCAGCTCCACCAGACTCTGCAGACAGTTCCCACCAAGAAAAAGGGCCTCACCAGATAATGCCCCCTGGACCTGGGACTTCTCAGCCTCTAAAACTGTAAAAAATAAATTAACTGCTTTCAGGTATTCTATTGTCAGGGACAGAAAATGGACTAATACAGATCCCTTCCACTGTCCCTGCCATGATGGCACTGGGGACATACACAGGGTTCCAGACAGTAAGAGAGTCCTCTCTACTCTCAGGTCCCTAAGCTCATGGGGGAGGAGTGTCTCAGCCCCACCCCTTAACCTAACCTGGGTGGAGGGTACAGGGATCACAGCCTCTTCCCAGAGACCCTCAGCAGGTTCTCACATGCCTTCTGTGAAGCAGGGTCACAGTGCACGGATATCAATCCCAGGGAAGGACTCTAATACTTCTCCAACACTATGCATGGGTGTCAGTCCACTTGTATGAGCGCAGTGAGACAGAACACACACAAGTTAAGTGAAGCAACTTTATTACTCACAGATAGGCAGCAAAGGACAACAGAAGCCTTGGATTTATAACGAGCCAGCCTCCCAAGGCTCAGGAAAGCTGTCCAGGGCAGGTGGAGTCTCATCTGCCTGTGCCTACGTTGCACCACAGCTGAGGGATCCTGGAGGTTCATAGCCCGGGGGTAGCTTGATTTGCTGGGCTAAAGCGCTGCAGGCCATCCTGTTTTAGGAGGAATGGGATCAGAGCCTGGGCTGTTCCAGACAGTCACTCCTTATCTCAGCATGCTGCATTCCCAGCACATTCTGCAGTTATTCTGAGAACAGGTGAGAAAGGAGGGAAGAGTGGGTCTCCAGGGCCATCTGCAGACATGTCCTGCACTTCCTCCCTCTGCAACTTCTTTTCTCCCATTCCCTAAAGTCTTGGGATCTTAACTCATCTGGACAGTGGACAAAACCATATTCAGACCAATTACATATCCTTTTAAACTTATTGCTTAGGTCAAGATCTTGGCTCTTGAAGTTCAAATGACCCTGGCTTTTGTAAACAAAAAACGCTTTTTTCCCCCAAAGATATTGACATGGGTTTCAAAAGTATATTTTGAACTTCAAAAGCTGAGTCTTATGTTTTTATGCATTTTTAAAATTTATTTTTTATTGAATTATAATATTTTATACATATTTTGTGGATTCAATGTTGACATGTCGATCAAATCAATATTATTAGCATATATATTATTACAAATCATGCTTGTTCTTTCTGCCCCTTGTCCAATCTCTCCCCATCCCCCTCACCCTCCCCCCTCCCACTTCTGATAACCCCAGATTTCTGCTCTCCCTCCGAAAGAGTAATGGTTACTCTCTTGATTTGTCACCTAGATGATCGTTCAGTGCTGAGAGAGGTATAGTCGGGTCCCCCACTATTATCGTAGAGCAGATGCTTCTTCTATCCCTCTGGAATGGGCTTTGTGAAGAGAGACATCCTCTTCTTTGGTCTCCACTGGTGACTCTCCTTGTGTCAATGTCCTCGAGTGGCTGGCAGGCCATCTGCATGGTGGTTGTGGCATCTAGTCACTTTTGCAGCAGCCGTGGCTATGGAGGTAGCTGTCGTGGGCTGTCCACATGGAAGTGGTGTTTTTGCATGCTCCTTGCCTGGTTGCAGGAGGAGGGGTCAGTCCCTGGCTCCCTCTGTTTTCACATTCTAAGATGTTGTTGTGGAGAAGTTAGGTGAGAGGGAGAGGGGAGAAGGGGGAAGGAAATGGTGTGGCATGCTCCTTGCCTGGTTGCAGGAGGAGGGGTCAGTCCCTGGCTCCCTCTGTTTTCACATTCCAAGATGTTGTTGTGGAGAAGTTAGGTGAGAGGGAGAGGGGAGAAGGGGGAAGGAAATGGTGTGGGAGAAGGAGGAAGGGGGGGCATGCTTGACGCCTTTGTCCTCCCACCATCACAGCTGAGGAGGCTGGGGCACTTCCTGCAGTAGCTCGGTGGTCATTGCTGGGCCAGTTGCAGGTGTCGCGGGGCATGGCTGAGGCTTCCAGTCCTCCCCCGTCCCTGGCTTTGGGGCCCAGGGGGCTTCAGTCCTTCTAGCTCTTATAGGTGTTCTTTGGTGATATGAAACCTTTACTAGTTAATATCAAACTTTGTCTCTGATCTGTGGGTATTTTGTTTTTTCTTTCAGTTCTGTGTTGGATTATTTGCTGTTCCCACCACTTAAACTCTGCACTGGAACTAATTTGCTGTCCTTTGCTTGCTTCTAAAATGGGGGAACTTCCTGTGGGAACCAGCACTTGAGCCCTGTGGTTGAGCTAAATCGCTGCTTTGCTGCTGATTTCCGTGGGAAGGCTTTCTGTGCAGCTCAGATTTCCATGGTTGACTTTGTAGGTACTTCCAGGTCTTGTGAGGTCCAGTACACCTGAGTTGTGTGGAAACTCTGATCTGGACCTGAGTCCTTTCAGCAAACTGCAACCCAAGCTTTTCTATATTCCTGACCAGTCTGTGTACAGACCATTCCTGTGTGAAGAGTGGTCCTGTGCTGATTGGGGGACAGATCAGCTGTCCATGCTGTGCCCCAGTGTTCCCCTGGTGGCCTGTCTCCCCCACCAATGGCACTCCAAACACCTCCCATGGGACAGGATGTGTGATGACTCATCGGCCTCTGAGTAGTTCCTTTTTTCTGTTGTCTGTGGCCCCTAACTCCTTTGTGGGTCCATGGGAATCCTGTTAGTGGTCCTGCTGGACTGGACGCCACCAAGGCCCTCTTCTCCCCTGCAGCTTCTAAGCAACTCATACAAAGTGCACAGCTGTGGCTTTTGCCAGCTCA